GGGAACTGATCGTATCCTGAGTAAAGGTCTATAAGCGAAATTATAGGCCTTCCAGCACAGGATTCCGACAGCGCGTCTGCATTTGGCAGCCCTCCCGCATCTCGGATGGTCACTGCATTCAATCTTTGCAAATCCTGCACCCACCGCAGCGTCCCGTTAGGCTTAATAAAGCAGAACCACGGGGATGCATACGGTCCACTTGAATAGTCGGCGACGTGAGTACGTATCTTGCCGTCGAGATAATCCACCACCTTCCTTTCCTCGTCAGGATTGGGATATCGCGTCCCTCTCATGTTCCAAGGCTCGTGTGGCATGGTGTATATGCGGATCATAGGTATCTTGTCTACATCGAGCCTGCCACGCTCTTCGCCACTAAACGCGTAAGCGCGATGCTTCCTCTTCATTAATTCCACCATCAACGTTCGCTCTTGGGGCAGTAGGAAATCAGACTCCCCTACGATCAACTCTTTTTCGTTCCCTTCATTGATACGACATGGCCTTGCTAAAACACTTTTCCTCATTCATCGAATCAACCCTCGTTCCCTCTCGTAATATGCCTCCTCGTCCTCTGTAACGAGGACGGGAACCGGGCGGCATTTCTTGTCTACCGTCTTGTACCGCCTTTGGGAACCCTGCTTGAGCCGTCCCCTAAAAAAGGCCGACTCACGGATTGTGTTTGCGCTGATGCGGGGTTCCCTTCACTTCCTGGGAGCCGATATACCAATTCCAACCTCCCTGCCTCAGGGCATTCCAGAACTTGTTCCCTCAAGACCTGGATGGCATCCGGATCTGCCATCTCATGCACGGTGACCAAATCCATGGCCTTCCCAATATCTGACAGGCTGAGGGAAAATGCTTCCACCCTCTCTCCTGCTTCGGGCTCTGCCCAGAGTCTCTTGCGCTCCCCTTCCGATTCCTCGATCGTGAACGATCCTGGATTAAGCCGGTTCCTTATACTCCTTGGCCCGGTGTTCCTGCAAGTAATTATTTCATAATTCCCGCAGGCAGGATCGCATAAGAGAAGGATCAACGTCCCATCATGTTTGTTAAACATCACGGTCTCTGTCCTGCCTAGGAATGACCTCCCCAGGAGGATTCCATGGTCCACGTCTGGCATTATGAAGAAGCATGCCCTGACCTTCACCTTTCCAACCTCGATGAGCACATTCGAGGCTGTCCCGCAAAACACGGCCTTACAGCTGGCTCCATGCAGAATACCGCAGTCAGAACGGTCTATATCCAGCCCGAATCTGATCGCGTCTGCCTCCCGAATAATGTTCATCTCTGCCCCGGTGTCCACCATTGCTGCGCACTTGGACCCCTTCACCATCAAATTCACCGTACCGCAGGCTACGCACTTCCAGTCCATCTTCGT